GCTTGTGGAAAATGAAAATAGAGGCAATGTTGGTTAAAAAGGGCTTGGCGTTAGCTCTGAAAGGAGAAGAAGAGCTACCTGATACATTAACCACCACAGAAAAACAAGACATACTGAACAAGGCCAAAAGTTCTTTGATTCTTGGCTTGGGTGACAAAGCGCTTCAAGAAGTCAAGAAAGAGAAGACTGCTGCAGAGATATGGAGCAAGTTAGACTCACTTTATCAGTCTAAGACTGTACCGTATCGGTTATTTCTAAAACAGAGTTTGTTTGGGTTTAAGATGGATGAACAAAATTCACTAAAAGATAATAAGAATGATTTTCTTAAGATAATACAAGATTTAGAGAGTATATCTATTGAAATAGGTGATGAGGATCAAGCTATAATCTTGTTAAATTCTTTACCCAGAACTTATTCGAATTTTGTAGAGATTTTGAAATATGGTAGGCAGACTTTGAAATTAGAAGAAGTAGCAGAAGCTATCTCAGCTAAGGACACTGAAAATAGGATTAGGGATAAAAATGTGAGCGATGGTGAGGGTCTTGTAGTAAGAGGAAGATCTGAAAAGAAGAACTGGAAAGGGGAGGGCAGAATAGACATAGGTCTAAATCCAAACCTGGGAAATGGAAATGTTTCTTCTGTCATAAGGAGGGTCACCTTAGGAGAGACTGTTCTAAGAGAAAGAAGAAGAAATATGAAAAAGAGGATGATGGAGGTAGTGCAGGGGCTGTGTCAGAGGGTTATGAGAGTTAAGAGGTTCTAGTTATTTCAGATAGCAATACTAGTAATGAGTGGATTTTAGATATTGGTTGCACCTATCATATGACACCTAATAGGGAGTGGTTTAGCTCATTTCAACCCTTAGATGGTGGGAAAGTGATGATGGGAAACAATGTTGTCTGTCATATTAAAGGAATATGATCTGTTAAGCTGAATCTCCATAGTGGATTAACTAAGACACTTACTGATATTAGGTATATCCCTGACCTAAAACGAAACCTTACCTCTCTTGGAACTTTAGACTCTAAAGGTCTAAATTATAATGCTGCTAATGGGAGTCTTAGTGTCTTAAAAGGGTCTTTGGTTATTATGAATCTCCATCTAGGCATGTTTGGATTTATTTTCTTAAAACCAAGGATGAAACCTTTTCTAGATTTAAGGAATGGAAAACTATGGTTGAAAAGCAAAGTGGAAAGAAACTGAAAAAGTTAAGAACTGATAATGGTTTGGAATTCATTAATGAGGAGTTCAATAACTACTGTAGAATTAATGGGGNTTAGGTTGTTAGTCTTGCTCCCTGTGGATTCGATCCTGCTTACCGCTACTACGGTATTTAGGTTTAATTTTTAGACTGTGACGATCGGTCTAACATCTAGGCATTATTCACTTGGAGGGTGTAGGTATTTTTTAAGTCTTGTAGATGACTACTCTAGGCATGTTTGGATTTATTTCCTTAAAACCAAGGCTGAAGCCTTTTCTAGATTTAAGGAATGGAAAACCATGGTTGAAAAGCAAAGTAGAAAGAAACTGAAAAAGTTAAGAACTGATAATGGTTTGGAATTCATTAATGAGGAGTTCAATAACTATTGTAGAATTAATGGGGTAGTTAGACATAGGACAGTGAGACACACTCCACAATAGAATGGACTCTGTGAAAGGATGAATAGGACTATTCTAGACAAGGTCAGAAGCATCCTGTCATGTTTCAAACTTCCAGTCAAGTTCTGGGCAGAAGCAGCCCATACTGCAGTCTACTTGATAAACAAAACACCCTCATCAGCTATAGGTTTTAGAGTTCCATTTGAAAGGTGGACTGGTCATATTGTAAACCTTGAAAACCTCAGAGTTTTTGGATGTCTAGCCTATGTTCATTCTAAGGATGAAAAGTTAAAACCTAGAGCCATCAAATGCATTTTCTTAGGATATCCAGATGGGGTTAAAGGCTACAAGTTCTGGAATTTAGAAATTAAGAAATGTATTGTGAGTAAGGATGTCATATTCAGAGAAAATACCCTACCTGGTTTAGGAAACAAACAATTCAGAAGCTGGACACCTAGAACTAGAAGTGACAAACTCTAGTTTTAGCCCAAGTTTGAATCAGGGTGGAGTTGAGGAGTTAGATACTCATGAGGAAGAACCAACTGGTGATCATTAAGTAGGGCAGAATACTCCAAGTGTAGATACTTCAAACTTGAATGATTATCAATTATCAAGAGATAAAATTAGGAGATCAATCAAACCTCCAAGTAGACTAGGATATGCAGACTTGGTTGCTTATGCTCTTCAGGTGGAGGAAGAGATGAATGATGAACCTAAGACATTCTAAGAGACAGTTTATGGATCTGAAAAATTGGAATGGAAAAAAGCCATTGAGGAAGAATTTGATTCTCTTATGAAGAATAATACTTGGGTTTTGGTTGATAAACCAGAAAACTGTAGGGTGGTAAAATGTAATTGGATTTTCAAAAGAAAACCAAGTTTAAAAACTCAGGATGCACCTAGGTACAAGGCTAGGTTAGTCGCAAAAGGGTTCACACAAGTAGAGGGGGTTGACTACAATGAAATATTTTATCCCGTGGTCAAACATACATCCATTAGGGTCCTGATTTCTTTAGTAGTTCAATTCAATCTGGAATTAGAACAACTTGATGTGAAGACAACTTTCTTGCATGGGGATTTGGAAGAAAATATTCTAATGGAGCAGCCTGAAGGCTACAGCAGTGCTACAGGTAAAGTTTGTCTATTAAAAAAATCATTGTATGGTTTGAAACAGTCACCACGACAATGGTATAAGAAATTTGATTCTTTTATGCTAGAAATATGGTTTAATAGATGTAATTTTGACAGCTATTTTTACTATAAAAGAATCTCAGAACTAACACATATTTTTTTACTGTTGTATGTGGATGATATGCTTGTGGCATGCCATGATAAATCTGAGTTGTGTCAACTGAAGAAGCTGTTGAACACCAAGTTTGAAATGAAAGAGCTGGGTTAGGCTCAGAAAATTCTTGGTGTTTCCATTGTTAGAAACAAAGCTTCTGAAAGTCTAAAGTTAGTCCAGAAGGACTACACTGAGAAAATTCTGAAGAAATTCAACATGCTGGATGCTAAATCTGTTCAGACTCCTCTCGGTGCTCACCTGAAACTTTCACATGAGCAGAGTCCACAGACTGAAACTGAGAAGTTGGATATGGCAAGGATACCTTATGTTAGTGCATTGGGAAGCCTAATGTACTTGATGATATGTTCCAGACCAGATTTAGGGTTTGCTATAAGTTTGGTTAGCCGATTTATGAGCAATCCAGGAAGGACTCACTGGATGGCTCTTAAATGGATTATGAGATACTTACAAGGAACCAAATCAGCAGGAATTGTTTTTAAGAAAAACCATAGTTGTGATGATTGTGTTGAGGGGTTTTGTGATGTAGATTATGCAGGAGATTTAGACAAAAGGAAGTCTACATCTGGGTTTGTTTTTACTTTGTGGGGAAACACTGTCAGTTGGAAATCAAAATTGCAGCATATGGTTACCCTGTCTTCAACTGAATCCGAATATGTTGCATTGATTGAGGCAGCAAAGGAGGCCACCTGGTTGAAAGGTCTGATCAATGAGCTGGGTATTGAGCAACAGACAATAAAGATTAACAGTGATAGTTTAAGTGCGATTCACCTTTGTAAAAACCAAGTTTACCATGAAAGGACCAACCACATTGATATCCGCCTTCATTTCATTAGGCAAATGATTGAAAGAGGAGAAATTGAGATTGAGAAAATTGATGGATCTCATAATCCTGCCGACATGTTCACAAAATCTGTTCCATTTGAAAAACACAGGCTCTGTATGAGCCTGCTTCAAGTTCAAGAGTGAGCTGGAAAATTTCCAAGGCCACATAGGGGGTGACAAATCAAGAAGCCAAGGTGGAGAATTGTGGTGATGTGGCTCCTTATTTGCCATGGTGGAGGTCAGCTTAAGTGTTAAAGTCAAACTCTCTTATGCGACGTCGTTTTTGGCTAAACCTAATATACTATCTGCTTTGGTTATTTCATTTTGTGCGCAGACTTCATTTCTCTCTCTCATTTCTGTTTTGCTTCGACACCTCACAACCCTACCGAATGTTCCAGAATTGATCTTGTGATCTTGCGGTTATGGAGAATCAGAGACAGCTGGATGATGATTCAGGCTTCAAGCATATGTATTTAACACCTGCTAATGCAAGAGGAAAAGACAGATTATGGGTTGAGAGAGTTAGGGTTTTGCGAATTGGTGTGTTCCTTCCTTGTTTGTTTTTCCCTTATGTTCTAATGAAATCATTCTCACTGTACATTATTGATTGATAATGAAATCCCCTATTGTGAGTCTTGGAGAGTGGATGTAGGCTGTAAAGCCGAACCACTATAAACTACTGTGTCCTGCTTTTATGCTTGTTCTTCTTACTTTCCATTTGTCTTTTGTTTAATCGTTGATTGATGACCTGTTTGAGACTATTTTAGGTTTAATCATAAACCTTAGAAACTTAACAAATATCTTATTTTTTAATCCAAATAGGATAATAAAATAACGATTTAGAATAATGTAACAAGCAGGGGCATAAAACTTTGTCATAATTTCCAATAATTTATAAAATATTCCCGTCTTTTGAGCCTGACTCCTGAAGATGGAATAAAAACCAGGTTTCATGTTATGTTAGTCGACAATATTAAGACTGCTTTGGTGTTACATCAGTTAGTGCCTTATTTTGTACTTGAAATGAAATTAATGTAGATGTAGTATGATTTAGAATTTCATTTCATGAGTGAAAATATCTATGTAACATAGCCAGCTGCGTTAGAATAAGCATAAAAAATAAAGTGAGTAAAATATGCCCTGATCGTAAAGCATCTAAAGAAAGCGGCATCTCCCACCAAGAGGCCTCCAGTCTGCTTATTCCATTCTCTTCTGTGCCACCATTGGTAGCTACAGTTGATTGCAAATATCTAACTCCACTACTATAAATATACTTGTTGTTTTGATGCAATTACAAGTCCAGGCCATCAAATTTCTCATCTCTTGAATTACTTGAGTGTAGTTATGGCATCAATCAAGGCCGAGAAACCTGTTGGCACTCAATCAGCCTCCACCAAGAAAGAGCCTGTTAAGGCTAGTACTAGCACTCCCAAGGTTCCCGCCTCCAAGCCTGCCCCTAAAAAGGCCGAGCAAAAACCCCGGGAGCCGAAGAAGAAGGTAAAATAATTTATTTAATTATCTTTGTCAATATTGCTTGGAATTAGGCTCATTTTCTTACAGTTTAAATCTATAAAAGAAGATGTTTCCTAAAATATTTTTCTATACATATGTATATAATTCTTGGACTAATATTGATCTGAACTATGTTTTATGTTTGATTAGGCATCAGGAGGGAAGGCAGGAGCTAAGAATTAAATAGACTGAGGAGGGGTAGAGCTTTGGTGTAATATGTGAAGATCTCATGAAGCTCAAACTTCTTGAAAGTTAGCTTTGTTTTACCAAATATTATGAAAGCTCTTGCCTCCAATTTATATCCATGTATCTTTTCCTAGGCGTGGCCTAATAAATAAAGACTTAAATACTTACTAAATCCATGTGTGTGTTGTTGGAGGATTGGTTTGATTTTGCCTTTTGTTTATACTAAATTAATTAGCTAGACCTCTAAAGACATCAATATTAAGGAATTTCTTAAAATGGAATGATCCTATTGGGCTTTGGTTATTTCAGTTGTAATAAAAAAATTGAGAAGGACAAGAAGTAAAACTTGTGACACTTGATTGAATTACCTATGAGCTATTTATAAAGTACGATGATATTGAATTTATAAATATTAACAACAATAATAACCATATATATATATATATATTAATTATATGGATAACTTTTACGGAATAAATTATGTATATTCATATATATCTAGTACTACTACGTTCCTGGTGGGTTGGAATCTAATTAATTTTATCAGTTTGTAATCCCAATTTTTAATCTGATCCAACTCAATGATCTTAAATTGAAACCTAATTCATTTTAATCAAATTTCAAGTAGATAAAAAACAAATCCAATGGAATTTATTTCTTTTTAATATTCAGTTGAATTAAAAAAATTGAATTTTGAGAATGAAAATAGCACTTATAACTACGAGCCCTAGAGTATTGGAAATGATTAAGTGGGGACTGGGAAGTGACTATTGCATTTTGTATCAAACAGTTCCTCATTTTGAAAATTGATCAATTAGCACCTCGTCGCATTGTTATTAGTGCCAACTAATTTAGATTAACAACAAAGTGACGGACACCGAAAATTTTACACCGAAAATGTGTACCGGCCTACGTGTACCCCTGACTCACACCAACAGTTCAGACGCCTGATTTTTCAATAAATATTTTTCTAGTGAACGGCCGTCCATCAAATATGGATGGCCGTTCACTCACATGAACCCCCATCCATATAATATGGACGGGGGTCCATATACGACGGACGGGCGTCCCCATTTAAAGGACGCCCGTCCATAAATAAAATATAATAAAAAAATTTTATAAACATTAGGGACGGCATTCATCCGTTATGGACGACCGTCCCTTCATTTTGGACGGGCGCCCGCAAATAAAGGACGCCCGTCCTTAACCAAAATATGAAAATAAAAAAAAATAAAACTTTAGGGACGGTCGTCCATAAATTTTGGACGCCTGTCCATACTTTTAAAAAAAAAAAAAATTCTTCTTCGTCTTCATTCCCCATCTCCGATCTTTTTCTTCGTCTTCATTCCCCATCTCCTCTCTTCTTCTTTGTCTTTGTTTTATGAGATAGGCGTGCCAAATCCAAAGGCTCCAAAGCCCAGAAAACTACAGAAGCAAAACATGAAGAGCTTAAACATTGCACCTATATACCAAAAAATACAGTTAAAAGATAACGTTGTAGGTGGCTTCCCCTTCCTATGAAGGTATCTTCAATTTATACCACAAATGAAAATAAGGGAGTTAGTATTATCAGATCTCATGACGTTCCTGGAAAATCTAGTACAGATGGGACATCATCAGCTGCTGGGAAAAGTGGAAGTCTATCTCTAGATGCTTTAGCCAAAGCTAAGAAAGCTTTTCAAATGCAGAAGGAATTGTCAGAAAAGCTGAAGAAGATACCATTGGTAAGAAGAATCTACACTGTTAAGAAAGTTGTTTCTTTCCTCTTCTCTCATGTGGTCAATTTTGTGTTTGTTTAGTAATATGTATTCCTTGGTAGACACTGAATGCTGCTTTGCATTTTTTTAGTTGAACAAGGTCACAAGTTGAGATGGTAGCTCAGTCTTTGGATTGAAAGACGGAGAGAAAGTGCCATCCTCTGGTACTGGAATAATGCAGGGAATAGGATCAACAACAGCAAATACTTTATCATCTGGTGCAATGCCTAGTTCATCAAACTTACAAGCTGCCATAGCAGCTTCTGTGAAGCCACCTGCAAGTGGGGTGCCTACTATTCCTGTCCTTACTAATATACCCAACATTGAAGCTGTTAAACGTGCTCAAGAGCTCGCTGCTAAGATGGGCATTCGTCAGGACCCTTAAATCTTTGGGTAAATAGGTGCAATGTTTAAGCTCTCCCTGTTTTGCTTCTATAATTTTCTGGGCTTTGGAGCCTTTGGATTTGGCACGCGTATCTCATAAAACAAAGACGAAGAAGAAGAAAGGAGATGGGGAATGAAGACGAAGAAAAAGAGGGGAGATGGGGAATGAAGACGAAGAAGAAGAGCGAAGTTTGTTTAGAATTTGTTTTTTTTTTTAAAGTATCCTAATAGACGCCCTTCCAAACGTAAGGGACAGCCGTCCCCAAAGTTTTTTTTTTATTTTAATATTTTGGTTAAGGATGGCCATCCCTTATTTGCGGACGCCCGTCCAAAATGAAGGGACGGTCGTCCATAACGGATAAATGGCTGCCTCTAATGTTTATAAAAATTTTTTGTTGTATTTTATTTATGGACAGGCATCCTTTAAATGGGGACACCCGTCCGTCGTATGCGGACCCCTGTCCATATAATATGGATGGGGGTCCATGTGAGTGAATGACCATCCATATTTGATAGACGACCGTTCACTAGAAAAATATTTATTGAAAAATCAGGTGTCTGGACTGTAGGTGTGAGTCAGGGGTACACGTAGGCCGGTACACATTTTCGGTGCAAAATTTTCGGTGTCCGTAGCTTTGTTGTTTAGATTAAGGGTAGTAATTACTTAAAACTTTGAGTGACGTTTGGTTGGAGTTATCCTCCATTACTGAGGTAATATCATCTTATATTACTTAGATTATCACATTTAACTGTCAAGTAATATAAGATTCTGATAATCTTCTAAAACCAACAGTAATTACTGTTGGTTATATAGGAGATAATCTGAATACCATCATTTTCTTAGGTATTTTAAGATTACTTAGTAATCTTATTTTTGTTACAATTTTACCCTTAACTATTAAAATTTTTGGACAATAATGCCTTTATTTTGAAAACAATTTATAAATATATTCATGGACTATTTTATCCTTATATATAAAATTTTGAGAACATAAATACCCTTGAACTTGAAAAAAATTACCCAAGACTGGTGGCCGGATCTGGCCACCACTGCCGACGACTAACAGCTGACCACCATTGCCGGCTGCAGGACATTGACATTGGAACGGTGCACAACTGGTCCGATTTGGTTGACTGTGCTCCGATCTGACTATTTTCGACCAGATCTCTAGTTGGAATCAACTAGATCTATTCGAAGAGAGTGATTGCTGTTAAGCTCTTAAATGGGCGAGTAGCTAGGAATAGGAATTTGAAGATTATAATTTTACATGTTTCATTAACACGGTTAATATTTATTTGGCAACAACATAATTCTAGGTTAGTTTTCCGAAACTGTATTGCCCATTGACACGGTTCATATTTAATTTGCCTTATCAATATTATAATTCTACTGTTTGTTGGGCAATCTTATAACTAATGTTAATAACATGGGAAGAAAATAGGCCTATTTTTGTAATATTGGTAGGTATAATTTTATTTAAATAGGTTAATTTAGAAAGAGTTTTGAGGGAATCAAATAATATGAATTCTTTCAGTTGTTGCCAAGAAATCTAGTGGAAATAGGGTCAATTAGATTTGTTTCTTTGTAAACCCAGTTCAATTATATTATGTAAACGCTCATTTGCTATAATTGACTTAATTTTTAATGAGTCGAATTACTTGGTGTATGTGTGGAATATATGATGATGCAGTAGGTAGAAGAGCGAACCGTATCTCCTGAATACAATTATTGAAGATATTTGAGACAATTCTGAACCGTTCATATAAATGTGGTTCTCATTCTAAATCCTTTTAGGATTTTATGTGGAGCTGATCAGGAAGACAAAAGTGAAAGTAATTGAAGTTAACCAAGATATTTTCAAGATAAAGGATTACGAATCCTTTTAAGGTAAGATAGAGAGAATAGCTTTTGAGAGCTGTCCAATTGTAAAAAGATCGGATTAGTTTAAATATTTCAGGATACTAATTAATGAGTATTGTTAGGTACCGTCGGCTATCAGATTTTTGATAATTTATATATCTTCCTCATAGCTCTACTTAATTTCATGTGGACACGATTTTTATTAATTAGTTCATTTCAGTCTGTTGATACGAGATTCGCACCAATTAGAGTGATTTGATTGACCTTGATGGAATTAAACCGACGTGTGTGTGATTAATTATAACCAGCAATAAAGAAAATGATACAAGAGAGTTTTAAAGTGGTTCGACAAGTTTGAATTTTTAGCCTATGTCCACTGTTTTTTGTATTTGTTGTGAGAACTTACAAGAGTATTCCTAGAACAATTTGCTAACCTCTTTTCCATCGTTAGAAGGGGTTTATATACAGGTTTTGTACAAAGGAAAGAGCGAAAATAAAGAGATTACAATTAAGATTGAAATGCAACTTCGATATTCTTACGGTTGAGCACTGAGATTGCGCTAAGATTGTTGTCGATTTGATTCCTTTTGAGATATCCAGGATCTGAGGTTATCTATGAGCTGATTGAACAACTATCGAAATTGGTCACGATTAGCTAATGTTGGGTAGAGCTACATCTCGACAAGCTTATGCTGAGTCAAACTGATTATGGGTTGGGCTATAACCTCATTGAGCTCTGACTTCTCTGAGCTTGATGGAAAAATCACATACAATACAGTCCACCCCTATCAAATTGTGTGCATGAGTTTATTAATATGATATGAATTTTTTTTTTTTTGGTTTCTAACATTTTCCTCCTCAAGGTTTAGGGAAAGTAACAAATGCACCCAAAAAATTGATTACTTTACTAATAAAGACTATTATGCCCTTTGTCTAATTATATATTCTTTTCAATTTTTATTTTGACTATATAAAAATTGAATAAATAAAAACTAAAAAGAATTTGAAACATTGTTTCAAAAATACTTTCGTATCTTTTATCATATTATACTTCCTCAACCCATTTTATTTTAATCGTTTTTTAAGTATGTAATTTAATTAAATTTATTATTTTTATTTTTACTTTTAGTTTATTGTATAAAATTAAATAACAATTAAACTATTCATGTATTTGTTTAAATTATAATTTATTATAAAAAATTGGTTAGTAAATATTACTTTATAGTATATACTTAAATTTTTTTTGAAGAAATAAAAGTGAAAAGAATATATAATTAGGCAAAGGGTATTATGGTAAAGTAATCAACTTTTTAGGTGCATTTGTTATTTTCCTAAACCCTTGGGTGTGTTTAGACTTTCATCAAACACCTTTTTTTTTGTGATATTAAATAGGATGTAAACATATAATTTGTTTGGAGGGTGTAAAATGAATCAATGGATATGACATGTCATTTTATTTTTACATTTAATTAATTAATAAGGACAAACATTCCGAAAAAAGTTTGCAGTATATGGTTATGTTATTTTTATTGGAGATGATGATGATTAGCTAACCTTACGCAATCAAATAAGATGATAGAATAAAGGAATCATGAAGAACTTTATATTCTGATAAAGATATAGGATGAGGCAGTACTCGTGGATAAATATGCTCGGAGTGATTACCAATAATACCAGTAAAAAAAAAATGCCAAAAAGAATCAGATACTACTGTAACTTAATTTCCAGGTGCTATCCAAGTCACTTATTCCACTTCTTTTCAACAGCAGCCATCCCCCTTGTCACAGTAGTTGTGATTCTAATTCCTTTGTTACAGTTGCACAACTCCGCAATATATAGCCATGTTTCGGGAGAAGACAATACGTACATACTAGAGCCATTTAGAGATACATATACACACAAAAATATAATGGCATCATTGAAAGCTGAGAAACCTGTTGGCACACAACTCTTTGGACAGAGCAAGAAGGAAGCTTCCAAGGCCAGTGAAGGTGCACCCAAAGCTTCCGGTTCAAAGTCAGCCCCAAAAAAGGCTGCTCAAAAGCCTCAAGAACCTAAGAAGAAGGTATATATACATATATCATATATGTCGTTATTTATACGTATATTATAATATACTTTGCTTTTCATATTCTTATTTTACTCGTAATTTGTTCTAGCTAACATCAAAATTGTGTCGATTGTGTAGGGAAAAGGTGGTAAACCAGCAGCGAAGCACTAATATGGTGTGCGACAAAAGCATCGAGACCTGAATTACTAATGGTCTAACTATAATTAATAATATATATCAATTGTCTCAATCAATATTTAGTGCACTTTAGCCAGGGACTGGTCATCTACGTAAGTCTCTGCAGCTTGCTTTAATGAAATAAAAATTTTATTTGTATAAAAGCTTTAAGTACTGTTCAGATTAGGCTTGCCATTTTCTTTTATTTTGTTTGCAGCGATCTTATTTTATAGGAAAGATTGACAACCATTTCAAGTTCCAGAATAATTTACTTGAAAATTATGGAGCTGGATCTTTTTTTCTTTGGTGAAAACTTTGGATTTGTGACATATAACCAGGCTCTACAACTGCATAAAAAAGTTTAAAGACATCAACCAACATGAGTAGTAAAATGAAATACATCAGATTTGTAACATATAATCAAACACTTATTAATTTATTCATATAGTATCTTAATCAATACAATATTTGTTGATGCTTACATAGTACTTTTAACAAAACTTTAATCTCACACACTTTCGGCGATTAATTAATGGATGAGTATGTTGTGATTTTCGACCTGAATAATAACTCAACTAGGATCACATTCCACCTAATGAACTAACCCCACAAGATTAAGTATCTATCAACTACAAAATTATCAATAGGCATTAAGAAATAGACAGAAAAACAAGAAAATGAAAGGAGACAAAGTCGATTATAGTGGTTCGGAACTTAAGGTCTACATCCACTCTCCAAGGCAAGGTAGTATATCATTCCTAATAGCAATATCAATGGATTTGCAGAGCATTATTAACCTTATAACAACAAGGAGGAAGAATTACACCTGATAAGTTGATAAACCCTAAACAAATCAACTCTTTCTCAGCTCTCTATTAACCAAGGGTGAGTTTTTATACAATCAAAGGCTCTCGGCATCAGAGTACATAATGATATTATCACAGTAGCTCCGCGTAATTAAAACAAGAGTAAATGATATATTCCCACCCGAGGTTTAATGAAATCCTAAGCTGATACCTTTGGTTCCATTTATTCCAGATTCTCACCCTTAAAGTGACGGAAAATTATTGGATATAACAGTTAAGGGGTAAATTGATCATTTTGCAGGAGGAGGCATACATTATTAGCAGATCACCGCTCCTAACAGTGCTCCGATGCATGTTAGTCGACTTCGCCCGATGTTTTTCACCATTTTCTGACGATTCTTCCACCCAAAATCACCCTTGTCACTAGGGGTGAGCACGGATAACGGGTAGAACCGAAATCTGCAGGTAGAACCGAAACCGGATCCTACTCGAAACCGGCACTGTACGGGTAGGTTCCGATTCCATTTTATTGGAACCGATACTATGCGGTTCTGGTTCCAGTTCTTATGTATGAAGGAACCAGAACCTAAAAAAAGAACTTGAAACGAGTACCCTGCTTGGAAACTGTAGCGGGTACCCGATTTGGAACTTGTTTGGAACCGATTTTTGGAACCTGTTTTGGAACCTATTTTGAAACTTGTTTTGGAACCTGGCCTCTAATGAAATATTTGTGAATAATGGGGGGTTTCATTATTTTACATATAAAAAATTTAAATTAGAAAAAGTTAAAATTTTAGAATAACTTAATTAAATAAATATACAATGATATTTATTACATATAAACTACAACATATTAAAAACTTTAATATATTATAATATATTAATATTAAAGTTTTGATTGATTAAGTGTATAATTGGAATTAGGATCCAATTAAAGGTGTTTTAATGTTATTAAAAAAAATCATTTTCGAATAAAATAGTATATTTGATTGAATAATAATATATTTAGTTATTTACTTCAATTATCAAGTTCTAAGTATATCTACAGTAAATTAGCAATTAATTAATTATATATGATAAATTGATAAACATTAATAAATTTAATTACTAGTTAAATATCATACTTAATCAATTATAACTTTACATTATAGTTAAATGATTACTTAATTAATTATAATTTTATAACATTACTTAATTGATTTATAGTATAATTAATTATAGCATTACATTAATTGATTACTACTTAATTAATTGACTTATAAGTTATAACATAATTAAATAGTTAATTAATTGACTTATAATTAGAAATTTAATTAATTATAGCATTACGTTATAGATTTATAGTATAATTACTTAATCAATTATAACATTTTATTATAAACATTAGTACAAACTTAATTAAATGATTAAAAATTTAATTAATTATAATATTACATTAAAAATTTATAGTATGATTACTTAATAGTTAATTCACTATAACATTACATTATAGTATGATTATATAATTAATTATAACATTACATAATTAAATAATTACTTAATTGATTATGAGTTATGATATTATGTTTTAAACATTAGTAATTACTAATTTGCTACATAAACATTAGCACAATACTTAATTAAATGATAAGAAATTTAATTAATTATAACATTACCTTATAAACATTTCATTATAAACATTAATTAAACATTACATTATAGTTAAATAATTACTCAATTAAATTATAATATTATTATATTACATTATATATTATGATCACTTACTTAATTATAGCATTACATAGTTAAATGATTACATAATTACATAATTAGTTATGAATTTATAACATTACATTATAAACATTAGTAATTTACTAATTTACTATATTATTACATTACTTAATTAAACGATTAAAAATTTAATTAATTATAACATTACCTTATATATTTATAATATGATTACTTAATCAATTATAACATTCCATTATAAACATTAGTATATTAATTAAATGATTAGAAATTTAATTAATTACAATATTAAATTATAGATTTATAGTATGATTACTTAATTCATTATAACATTACATTATAGTATGATCACATAATTAATTATAACATTATATAGTTAAATGATTACTTAATTGATTATGACATTATATTATAAACATTAGTAATTTACTACATAAACATTAGCACAATATTTAATTCAATGATTAGAAATTTAATTAATTATAACATATTAACATTACATTATAAATTTATAGTACGATTATTTAATTAATTGTAACATTACATTATAAACAAATTATTACTTAATTAAATTATTACGTAATTAATTATTACATTATTACATTACATTATATTATGATTACTTAATTAATTATAGCATTACATAGCTAAATAATTACTTAATTAGTTATAAATTTATAATATTACATTATAAACATTATTAATTTACTACATTAGTTATTAGTACATTAATTAAATGGTTAAAAAATTTAATTAATTGTAACATTACATTATAAATTTATAGTATGATTTCTTAATTAATTATAATATTACATTATAAACATTAGTACAATATTTAATTAAATAATTATAAATTTAATTAATTATAACATTATACAGTAAAACATCTCTATAGTCATAATGTTGGGATCAAACTAATTTATTACTATAAAGAGGTTATAACTTAATGGAGGTGTAGTTATAAAAAAACTATTTTGATTTCTTATTTTATAATTCATATTTTAGTAGTATGTATTAGGACTTCAATTAATTGTTTTAGTAGTATTAATATTTGTTATTTACTTTTAATATTACTTGTTTCTTATTTTATAATTTATGTTTTGGTAGTATTAGGATTTCAATTCATATTTTAGTAGTATTAAGATTTCAATTCATTGTTTTGGTAGTGTTAGGATTTCCTATTTACTTTTAATATTACTTGATTTCCTATTTTAAAATTCATGTTTTGGTAGTACTAGGATTTCAATTCATGTTTTAGTATTAGGATTTCTTATTTACTTATCCTAGTGGAATTATGATTAGTCTGCTATAAATAGGGTTGTTATGTTTCAACTCATTCAATCAAGTTTTCAATAAAATCTTCCACCAATTCAAGTGATACCTTTCTTCTTCCTCTAGCAAATCAATCATGCCACCCAAAGTTAATACACGAACTCAATTGACCGAAAGTATTCATGTTGAGTTGTGCAAAATGAAAGAATCAAACCCTAGTTGGAAGCAAAAAGATCTTGTGAAGTGGTTAGAAGATACTCATGGTCTTAAGGTATCACAAGCAGCAATATCTAAGACATTCAAATGATCAGTTGACCTCCTTCAAGAAGAAGGATTGTTGAACCCAAACACAAAATGTTCAAGGATGGTAAAGTACCTAGCAATGGAGTCTGCCCTCTATGAGTGGTTTGTATGCCATCAAGAGCATGTCAGTATGAATGGTGAATTGTTAAAAGAGAATGGAAATATTTTTCTTAGGAAACTCTATCCCGAAGCTACCTCGTTTGAATTTTCAAATGGATGGCTGGAAAAGTTCAAGCAACGACATGCAATTCATTCCTTTCGTCGTTTTGGGGAAAGTGGTTAAGTTAATTTGGAGAAAATTGAAGCTAGATTTTCATCAATAAGAGAGGAATTAGACAAATGGGCTTGGAAGGACATTTATAATATGGATGAAACTAGCTTATTTTATCGAATGCAGGTCGATAACTCTCTTGCAACAAAGCAGTTGGAGGGCCGAAAGCAAAACAAAGAGAGGATTACAATTGTTATTTGTTGCAATGGCGATGGCTCTGACAAACTTCTGCTTTGGGTCATCGGTAAGTTTCTTAATCCAAGATGCTTTAATAATGTTAAACAATTGTTATTTGTTGCAATGGCGATGGCTCTGACAAACTTCTGCTTTGGGTCATCGGTAAGTTTCTTAATCCAAGATGCTTTAATAATGTTAACCGTGATAATCTCAATTGCAAGTATCGAGCGAATTCAAATGCATGGATGGCATCTTTGTTTTTTATGGAATGGCTTAAGTGGTTTGATAGTTGTTTGGATAGAAATGTCTTGCTTATATTGGATAACTGTACCGCACATGGCAAAAAGGAGAATCTCCCCCCACTTCATCACACAATTGTTATGTTCCTACCACCAGCTAGCACTTCCAAAATCCAACCATGTGATGCGAGCATTATTAGAAATTTCAAAGGTTATTATCGGCAACGCTTTAATCGCTTACTTTTGAAATGGATAGAAGATCATGTATTGGAACCAGAAAAGATAAGTATCCTTGATGGAATTGTAAATGCAGTTGCTACATGGTCAATTGATGTGAAGCTACAGAAAATTATCAATTGTTTTAAGCA